TCAGTGTGATATTGAAGGAAGTTCTGGAGAAAGTTATCAACATACGCAGATAGTTCGACTACAATTTCTGAACTGTTCGTGGAAATTCTGCAGCTATTTATTTTCCACTCAGTATTAGTACCATGTAACACCTCATAATATATAGTAACTATACTGAAAAGAAACAGCATTATCTAGGTACAGCAAGGGAAAAAAAGAATGCTTAAGCATATACAAGGTTGCCAAATATCTTAGGAGGGAAGTTTTAAAACATCTTCCTATGAGGATAATTCTAGCCATATGACAGAGGAAAATCAGAGCGAAGTTAGTTTCAGCTCCTACAGACCCATTTCAACAGGAGCACAATTTGTGCTAATTATTGAAATTTAAACGAAAGCTAAATTCCTTAATTATAATTATTTTTTCTAGATCCTGACATAGAAAATTATCTATATTTTGAAACATTTTACTTTTGTTTCATCAAATGGAAAACTGTTGAAAACTTCTGGATTCTTCTAGATGTATTTTTTTTCCTAGCTCCTTGATATCTTTTGATAGAGGTTTAAAGATTTGGGAATTAAGAAAATAAGTCCCAGGAGTGTTCTCTAGATGTAAGAATATCTACATCTGTACTTTGCAAGTAAGAATTTTAAAAGGTTTCTCCACATCTACCCCACAGATCTTCATTAAATGAGAACAAAGTGTAGTTGGAACTGCTCATGGAGTTAAAGCTCTGTGATGAGAAGGCAGTTGCAAGATGCAAAGATTGCATGCAAAAAGGATTTGAAAATACTAATCCTTACATCTTCCAACCCCTGCTCCAAAAATTCTTAAAATAACCAACTCCCCCCCAAAAAACCCAAACAATTCATCCCAAAAATTAAAAAAAAAAAAAAAAAGAGAAAAGAAAAAAGGCTATAACATGCCTATAGTTGGTATTCTTGACTTGTAAACCACAAAAAGAATAAAAATGAAGTGTTGCCTTCTGTCTAACATTGAAGACAGTGTACAGTCCTCAACAGCTTTTTTAATTTAGAAGGGGAGGGGAAAAGGCTTCTGAATAACACAAGATCCCTTTTATGCAGCAGTTTTTCAATATTTATGTTCAACTATTTATAAATTAAATCAGATCTGTTCTAATTTAGCAAAAGTTCTATGCACGTGTAATTTCAAGTGGTATTGCCTGCAACGTTTCAGCAAAGCTTTCGCATAATTTTGACTTTCAATTTACATTAAGCACGTACTGATAGGCTTTGCTAAATAGGAACATGGTTTTATGTATGCTTAGAAGTAAGCAAACTTATCAATGTTTTGTTGAATTCGGTCCTTGGTGAGAAAGCATATACCGATGAATTAAAGGAACAAGAAATTCTTAACTAAAGCTAGTACTTGCAGACAATTGCTCGATCCAATTCAAACCAATTCAAAGGAACAGGCACAGTGTAATATCCATGCATGGCTATATTGAATAATTGCTTGTGGCAAACAGTGTTCATGATCAAAGAGACTGTTAGCACAATCCACATAATGGTTTTCCTGAAGGATGATTGTTCAGATGTGAAGGTTGGAAATTCTGTATCATTCAGCAGATATCAAAAGGAGAGCTCCCCTTAGTCTGCCTGAGGCATGACTGAATTTAATGCTTAAGGAGGGGGTGGAGGGAGGGGGGAACCCACAAAAAAACCCACTCACACCACAAACAAATAAAAAATAACGACACAAAAAACCCCAGAGTGAGCCGATAACATTCCCTGAAGGTGGTCATCTTTGACAGATTTAGTGAGAACATTTAGCATCTTATTTTTTATTTTTTTAGCTTTTTTTTTTTTTAATTCTTGTTTTTATTCTCTAGGATCTATACCAGGTCTCTAAGACTGTTAGTCTGGACATGAAGGACAACCTAAGCAGACTAATTTTGAATACTTGCACTGGGGAGCTGAAAGATGCATCATGTTACTTGTATTTTACTTGCAAATACTAAACTTGTCTTTTGAAAGACATACAGATATACAGCCATTGGCAGAATTATTTATACAACATGCGCTGCATTCAAAGCCAGCAATAATACAGACAAATCTTTACTCTATGCCACAAGGTAACCTCAGGTTTCTTCAAGAAGCCCATAAACTGGAATGGCAAATAGCTACAGCCCAGAGTTCTCAAGGAAATTCAAATAAAGCCCAGGAGGCCAATTTACATATGGAAATGGAAAAGCAATATAGATTTATAAATAACAACAATGACAATGAAGAACATTTAATTAAAAGTTATGCACCCTATGGGTATGTCTATAGTCAGCAAAGCACAGTAATATAAAAGTACCCGATTCCAGATGCAGTTTAGTTGTGGTAACACAAACCTTTTATATGGTTTACTTTATGCTATGCTACATACTCTATTGCTGCTACCCAAAGAACTTGTTTAGCAGTGTAGAATATGCTGAGATAACAAAAAAGGTGCAATGTTGTAGAGTAAGGGGGTGTGAAAACATTATCAAGTAATTTTCTTTTAGAAGTATTTTCTACTACGTAAGTTAAGTGCACTCTCAGAGAAATGAGATCAGCTACGTTGCCAGACAGATCATGTATCTATGACGGTGTTTGAGACAGGAGCTATGAATTATCCTCTTCTGTGTGTCCAGTTCAAAACAGACTGAGACAAGTTTTCAGTGACCAGAATTTGTGGTGCTTAAGCGATTCCAAAAATTCTGGCTAAAACATAACCGAAACTTTCAAGACCTAACACTTTGAGAAGGTTTTTGCATGAGTTTGACACCTTCATTAGGAAGCATCCTGATACTCCCAGTTACTGCCCTAACTTTACAGGGCTTTTTCCTAGCAGAAAGCATGAAGAATATTACAGTATCAAAACACCAGACATGGATGGACCTGAATCCATTTCAGTTTTGTTTTCTAAATCCTTTTAGCAGTTAGCAGAAGTATAGCATCTGCGTTTAGAGCAGAACAAGGACACTAAATTCTATTTTTAATATTAAAGAAATTACTTTATGGGTTCACTGAATGTAGTCTCACACTTCAAGTGGCATGCTGCAACATTATAGAAGTTATAACAGAGAAAGAATATTATCATAATTAAACTTATTGATTAAATAAGTTTATTGTAATTAGAAAGACAAAGTAACTGGCATGCCTATTAACTGAGCAATAATTCCCTGAAAGAAGAATATTTCAATATCCTGACAGATTGTTTTGCTCCTATCAAAGGTTTTACTGTATTTTTCAGTAGGCCAATCTGGTCTGTCACATACTCAATTTTTAATGCCAACGCCAATGACAGCACTAGTTTTTAAATACAGCAACATCTGCCACTGTTAGTTACCGAGTCATCTGACTGCTGTACTGGAAAATAAAAACACCATCATGACATGAAAGCATTGAAGAAGCTACTTGCCAGAAAGCCACTTCCTTGTGCTACGCAGCAAGTTTTCTGATCCTAAGAGAGGCTGTATTTAACCACGGCAGACAGCAAGAGGAAAGAATTCTGCAGCAGATCTTAGTGGCAACCTAAACAAAACCTGTTGTATTCAAAAAAGGCTACATATGCATTTCAGCACCAGGAGACCTGCAATAGACTTGCTTATCAATAGATCTTTCCTTCTGAAATAGCAAGTGGTACTGTTTGTAGAGAGAAAATTATATAAGCGCACACACACAGAGGTTTATTAAAAATATTTCTTAAAAAAATATGTTTTATTAGTGAAATGGAGGTGTTAGTCCTATTGTTCTTGTACATAAGACTTACTAGTAGTCTCATTTTTAATGAAAAAAGAAACAATGCCTTTTGATTTAAAACAGCAAAGAGAAGACTCTAGAAGATCAGCACATTTTGAAAATGCAAGCATGGAATCATTAGTGATGCCCATGCATTTTAAAGATCTGTAGTGATCTTAATGATCACTATGATCACAATGAATGTAGTGAAACTTAAGGATGACAGTTTGTTTTATTAAGCTACCTACAATTAAAGCAGATAAAAACAAGTCATTGCCTGAATGCTAACGATAAGGAAAAACAGCTTCCAAAAAGTACCTTTCTTTGAACTGTAATAGGAAAAGGAAAGGGAAACAATTACAGACAGGAAATCCCAGAACACAGCAGCCAACCTAATATTTGCATATCATGCCAGAAAAGAAAGAGGGAATTGTTACCAGCAGAAGCAACAAAATTGAAACATTTACTAAAATATAATCCCAGAATAGAGCTGCCAAACTAGTAAGTACATATAATAAATGAAAACAGAGAGACAACCGTCACTAGCAACAGCAAGAAAGCAGAACTTTATTAGCAGAACTAAAGATACATCTACACCAAAGTGTGGCAGCACCTTAGAGAAACCTGAGAAATCTCTGAGCAAGATGGCATGTCGACATAGCACGACGAATGCCACATAAGGATACTAAGTGGGTTCCAAAGCAACATAATCACTTTAAAACAGTCCTGTGCCTGGATTTCTCAAGTGTCTCAGATGCTCCTTGTTCTGGAGTTAGTCCATTCTGAATAAACAGGGAATTACTGTCCCAGGCCGAACTGCAAGCCATAGATATCTGTTTAAAAACAAACAAACAAACACCAAAACACACAAAAAAACCAAAACAAAAAGAAAACCCCACCAAACACACACACAAACCCCCTCCCAAAAACACTAGCCCTGATTTAGCAAGACTCTTACCACCTTAGAAGGTTGAGCCCTACCATGAGAAAGTTTGCAAGAAGTAATCACTACAACAGAAGGGAAGGCAGGATAAAGAAATAAGAATAGACGTTTCTACATCTTGTATACATAATTAGATCACTTCGGATCACACAAGACTATAAACACCAAATAAAACTACTGATCATCTATAGTATTTTCTTAGTTTCATAGAATTACAAAACCAGAAAGTGTATTGAAGCAATAAGAGGCCATTTCAAAGTGCTGTTCTTACTCTATGCTTGCTTGAACTTTACTCCACATTTGAAGGTGTTAACTACTTTTAGTACATGTGAAATTGCTATACTTACTACTCCCCACCACAGGGCATCTGCATAGCTGCCAAACTCTGTTTCTCCAGAATCATTTACAGCATCTTTTTCAGCCAGGTACACAAAATAAGAGGAAAAAATCAGGCCCAGAAATCCAATGTAGAGTGTAGTTATCAGTTCCTACAAAGAGAATCAAAATAACAGCATTATGATATTATTTGAACACTTAAATTACCTACCACTGACGTTTTTTAAAAGATAATTGGAACAGAAGAATAATTTCAGCAATTAATAAACATTGATACCGACTGTTGGCTGCGCAAATTAACAAAAATCCACTGAACTCAATGGTCAAAGAATTTACAGCATAGCTGATGACTTGGTCTAGCATGCACATTTCAAACACATTTCAAAACAACCTCCTCACTTGCAAGCGTGACTCATTAACCTTTTGGTCACCAAAACGTAGTTGGGTAATTTTTTCAGACAGTGCCACATTCAAAACAATTTTGGAATTTAGATACATAGTTTTAGAAATATTCAGACTACTTTTCAGAAGACTCATTTTCTGTGGTTAAGTCCTACTACAAGTCAAAAGTTTTCCGAAGTGGAGGTGAATATTTTTAATCTTTTAGGAACTTTTCGTCCCTTGAACAAGGCAGAACCATACTTTGTTAAAATAAATGACTGCCTGCCTCCACACTAAATATATTTGACATCATCAGCATGTCTGCATACATGCTGTTCTGCATAGAAGGACTTTTGCATGAATTATTATGCCATTCCTCAGAGTACTCAAACTTACTTGTCTGTGTATGAACACTACTGATCCCAGCAGCCTCCATGTACCACCCTGACGGTCAACATGCAGCATTCGTAAAATCTGCAGAAAACGGATGCCCCTGGAACACAATTTTTAAATGAATGAAAAGACTAAAGATACAAGCGAAGAAATAGAGGCAGAGAGGGGAAGTCTGTCTCTTCCACAGGACCGTTTAAATTGAGAGACATAGTATTTTGTATTAGACTTCGCAGCCTGTCTCTTTCCACTCCATTCACCCATCTTTCATCTTGTTTGTTATGAAGACAGCATGGGGAGATTGCACAAGAGAAGGAAAGACCTTTGTACACATGGCTAGTAAGGATAACTCAAGGATTCAGGAGTTTTGGACACAAACTGTGAATGCTCTAGAAATCATCCATCAACACATATTTGAGTTGCTTGCCAGGATGGGAAACAGCATACAGAACATAGCTAACTAAAGATCTGAATTCCTCACCTTTGAGGAATTTCATAGGCAATTTGAACTATGCAGCCCAATAATATTTTAAAATATTCTTTTTATGAGAGTCACTGCAATCCTAGAGCATCACTGCAGCTAGCGCACAGAGCACAGTACACTGCCGTGTACCCTCTCATTCAAGAAAACCAAGTGGTGTGACCTTCCTGAGCTCAAGGTGGATTCAGTCCATCAGGAATTCACAACCACTAATCCCAGGCATTTTTTGAAAAAGCAGCTTGAAGACGTCAGAGACATGAAGCATCAAAGAGTTGCTATAAAACTGAGCCAAGAAACTAAAACAGGATTTGGGTAGAACCCACCTAGTTGGGGAAAAGGGGAGGGGGAATGTGCACCTCTATCCCCACCAGACATAAATGCATTATAACCAGACAACACCTACAAAATTTTGTTTCCCCTACACTTAACGGGATCACTGTATCACACCCATACAAGATTGGTAATCTGTTCTGTTACATGACTCTCAGCAGTGACTTGTTTCCTCCTGCAAGAATTGAAACAGGAGGTAAAAAAAAGAAAAAAACCCCAATTTACTCAGACAGCACTATTTTCTTTTATTGCATATAATTACCTGATAGCTGAGGTTGCAAAGACTTGACCTTTAGAGCCCACACAAAGAACTATCATGGAAGCAACAACTACAATTAAATCTGGAAAATAAAAGTCAATTGAAAAAGTGAGTTAGCAGCATCTTGCAATACTTCTGCAAGACTGTTACTAGAATCAATGCCAATATTACTTTAACAATTTCAACAGTCATGCCAAATCAAGATTTTTGTTTATATATCAAGAGATTTCTATTGTAACATATAAAATATATATAAAATATAATTGTGTGATATATTTATAATAATATATTTTTTATAAAATATAATTGTGTGATATAGTTTTACTGGGATGGGTCCAAGATGGCCACATTCTAGATGAATGATGAGAGTGATATGAGTTACTGTAAAGAAGCCTCAGCAGCCTGGAATCCTTATCAGCTATAACCCATGAGGAATTTCAGTAGTTTCTACCTATTATCTCTTCTGTGTATCTTATTTTCTCTGCTGTTTTAGACAGTATTTTATTCATTAACAGAGGTTTTGGGGTTTATTTCATATATAAGACAATTGCCTTACTATTATTTCATCTGTCCAGGTCCAAAAGGGAAAGAAAAATTGGAATTAGTGTATGAGTCTAACTTAGTTTAAGTCAGTCATTACCCTAGGATTGTACTTTAAATCTCTGCGCCTCAGACCTCGTTAATTGTGGAAAGGAACTCTATATTTTGGAGAATGAAATAGGTTTTGATACATATCTGGGAAAGTGGAACTTTGTTTTGCTTTCCAAGCTGAAATAAATTGGATGATGTTTCAGAACCCCTAGTGTTCTGGGTCTCAAGAGAAATGGATTGTGGACAGAGTGCAAAGATACAGTCAAAGCCATTTCATAGTTGCAGTCACACACCTGAGAAACAACTGTTATTTTTATATATATGCACAGAGAAGTTAAACTAAACTATTTTATGATTGTAAAAATACCCAGGTACAAAATTTTGTAATTTATATACAGCAAAACTGTAGATGGTTTATGAAAAACTATATCCTCTACTCAACAACAAATAATGTTTCTGACTAGTGGAAAAAACTGTGTCACAGAACAAGAATTACTATGCTTCTATAACAATACTCCTCTTCCAAAATCTAGGTTGTTTAATCCATTTATATTTTAAGTGCTTCAGGGCGAAGGTCTTTACATAGTTCTCTCTATATTAGCTAACAAAATAAAGATTGATTTTGGATTATTATGTTTCTTTCAGTGAAATTATTAAATGCATGACAAGCATTCTAAAAAAAAAAAAATGGTTTGTGACATATATGAAATATATGGATGTAATTTCTAAAACACTGAAGTGATGTTAGGAAGCCAGCTGCAGTGAATATCAAGGGAAGTCAGGTGCCCAGTTCCAAATGCATCACTGAAAACCATATTTTAATCCAACAGATATGCAAGGTAACTACAGTGCATCTATCATGTTATACCATCAGTACATAGCTCAATTAGAGTGCAAAATAAACTCATAATAAATTATTCAAACGGCTGCTGGGAAAAAAAAAGGCCATTCAGTATTTTTTTAAAAATCTAGTTGTAGCTATTGTACACTATCTGGGATTCTGAGGTCACAGGAGACAGGACTATGGCCAAGACTTATTTCTGGCAAAGCTTCAGATCACTTGTGAAAAGAAAACACACTGCTCTTCTGGAAAAACAAAACAAGCTACATTTTTCTCAAATGACAGTGCCACAGATTCCTGAAAGGAAATTCAGATCTACGTTAACGCTAATGACAAGAGCTCTTGCTCTAACTTGGCTTCAGAAATTCCACTTCTCAAAACTTTCAAGGACAAGTTTTACTCATTGTTTACGTCAACTTAGCAAGCTGCGCGTACTCACCAATGATTGAAATGGGCTTCCTAGCAAAACGAAGCCTTCCCCATATTCCAACATATTTACTGCGGCATCCTGCTGACCATAACCGAACCACATATTCTGTTCCAAAGAATACCACCAATACAATTTCCTAAAAGAAACAGACACAGAACTAGGTTAATTCTCTACTGTATCTTTTTTCTATTTTCATCTTTTTTCAGAATGTATTAGGAAACGCTAAAATAAAATGTAAAATTTGGAAGGTGAAAAAAATGCCAACTATACCAAAATGATCTAAAGTAACATAGAAAAACCTGTAAGAGTAAAGAAAAAGATTAAGAGCAAGTTTAAATACTTTAATTGCATGCAGTTTGGCTTGTCTTCACATACTAAAACTGAAAACCATTCTGTGCAATTCACTTAGTCTCATTTAAACAAAAGGTTTCCTGACTGAGCCAAAGAAAACAAGCAGAATCTGTATTCAGAAGATGAGTATTTTGCTAGCGTATTTCATTTCGGGAAGAGGTGTGCTTCACATTCCATTTACCGTACCAGCTTAACCTCCCACTTATTTATACTTTTGCAGTCTTCCTTTAATCTCACATGGACCGAAGAAAGATTTCTAGTACCCATTACCAATATGTCAGTCTCCAGGTGCACTGAAAACATAGTGAGATCTCAAGCACGCCTTTCCCATCCTCTTGTCAACAATTAGAGACTTCAGCAAAATCAGAGGTCTAGTCCTGAAGCACTGCTGGTATCAAGCTACATGTTAACCACAGGCCTACGCTAAGGTATGACTTTGGAAATGCCTACAAAGTGATAGATGTCAAAGACATCTCACATTTTTGTTGATTAGACAGAGGTACAATTCTGTTGTATTTGGAACTTAGTGAATGTGCAAATAAACCTTGCTTTTCTACAGACTGATTGAGCACGGCATAGTCAGCATAGTTTCCTTGAGTATATCAGGGAGTTGCAATACTTCCTTATTGGCCAACTCGATTAATAACTAGTCACATTCTCTGTCAGAGCCAACAGCAAAATCTACTAATTGGAATGGTAACACTGGCTTGTAATTGAAAACACACAACACATGGCATATGGAAAGAGTAAAGCAAAGAAACGAATCATAAGGTATCACAGTTACATGGGATAATGCAGATTAAGAGAATGAGCTGCTTATTTCATAGAGTGTTTTAATATAAAGAGCAACTGCAGAGAAGACAACATGCTGCTGAACATTTTATCCAGCCTCCTCACATTTCTGCAGGGTTCACTGCTGCTTTTCGTAACAGATTGGCAAACGGGACTCAAGATTACCCATGATTATTTTCTAAATTAACTGAAATAACCAGGATACAACCCTAGTCCAGTCAAGATGAATGGGAGTCATATTATTAGCTTCAAAAATGCATGGTGTTGTGGATTAACCCCAGCCAGCTACTAAGCCCCACACAACCGCTCACTCACTCCCCC